ACACACATGGTTGCATGCACACACACACACACACATGGTTGCATGCACACACACACACACACACACACACACACACACACACACACACACACACACACACACACACACACACACACACACACACACACACACACACACACACACACACACACACACACACATGCAGACACATGTATGCACATGCCCCCCCCACACACACACAACACACACACACACACACACACACACACACACACACACACACACACACACACACACACACACACACACACACACACACACACACACACACACACACACACACACATACGTGCACACACACTCAAACACATCCCTGCACACATACTCAAACACATCCACACATACTCACACACATCCACACACACATACGTGCACACACACTCAAACACATCCCTGCACACATACTCAAACACATCCACACATACTCACACACATCCACACACAGTCACATACAGCCACACACATTCACACATATCCACAAAAAATGATTATCCAATGTCTTGAAAAAAAAATTGTATTTTACCATTATTGTTGATTGAAAAAAGTATCTTTTCTTTTCACACACACACACACATACATACACAGACATGTACATACATACATACACAGACATGTACACACATACACACACTCACCTCCACACACATTCACATCACAACACACACACACTCTCTATCTCTCTCTCTCACACACACACAAACACACACACACATACACACAACACACACAACACACACACACACACACACACACACACACACACACACACACACACACACACACACACACACACACACACACACACACACACACACACACACACACACACACACACACACACACACACACACACACACACATACATCCACACACACATACGTGCACACACACTCACACACATACACACACACACACATCCACACACATCCACATCCACATCCACACACACACATCCATATCCACACACACACATATCCACATCCACATACACACACATACACACACATACACACACACACATACACACATACACACACATCACACACATCACACACACACACATCCACACACACACACACACACACACACATCCACACACACACACACACATACACACACACACATCACACACACATCACACACACACACACACACACACACACACATCACACACACACACACACACACACACACACACACATCACACACACACACACACACATCACACACACACACACACATCACACTCACACACACATCCACACACACACACACACACACACACACACACACACACACACACACACACACACACACACACACACACACACACACACACACACACACACACACACACACACACACATCTGCACTCATACTTACACACACATCTGCACTCATACTCAAACACATCCACACATACTCACACATCCACACACAGTCACATACAGCCACACACATTCACACACATTCACACATTCACACACAAATACACACACACACACACACACACACACACACACACACACACACACACACACACACACACACACACACACACACACACACACACACACACACACACACACATCCACACACATACTCTCCTACAATTGATAAGAACACAAGTAAAATGCTCATGTAACAAAACAATAAAATAATAAGTAAAATAAATAAATAGAATAGAATAAAAATTACAGGATTATCCAATCTCTTGAAAAAAGTCAATCTTGATACTATATTTTACTATTATTGTTGAGCGAGAAAAGCATCTTTGCTTTTTTCACACCTACACACACACAAAATAAAAGAATCTGTAAGGAGAGAATCTGCACCGTACAACCAATATTTCTGTTGAAATTATAATGTAATTTGACAGTAACAATACAGCCAGCTAAATTGGCAGTCTTTCAAATTGTGAAAAATTTATGCAAGTTGGTGAAATAGTTGCAGAGGACTTTGAAAAAATGTTGGGTTAAGGGAGTTTAAGTGTGGGAATGTTTATGTGGGCAATTATTTCACCCATGGATGTATTGAGGGAATTGGATATGGAGGAGGTGTAAGTGATGTTGGAGATGATGGTGATGTTGAGAGAAGAGTGAGGTGTTTGTATACTTGTGTGGTCCGCATTCCTAGGTCTCCACTACCCTCTCCTCCTGGGGAGATAAGACCACTGTCCACTCTTCTCTCCTCTATAATTTCTTTTTCATTTTCTTGCTTCTCTAAGGTTTTGCCCCCAGACCATGTTTGCACTTCTAATGCAGCAATATTTCTATTATTACCAGTGCAATGCACCAAATAAAAAGGCACAAACATGTGACATACATACTCTCAGCTTGATTGCTGTGTTTATCTGGCCCACATAAAGTTACCAATTTGTATTGTCACGTAACCCTCTCATGACGCCCATTAAAGGGGCACTCTTCCCATGTAGGTAGGTCATGCACACAGACAGGTTCCCAAGTGCTAGGTGCCTCATACAACTTGCCCTCTATGTCAGGAAGCTGCACTCCTTTACTGCCTATCCTACTGGATTCAGTGAGCAACCGCTAACGAGTGTTTTCACACACAGGGCACTAAATGACATTAGCGGGGATGAAAGGACAGGCAGGTAGCAATACACAGTTTATTGGCGGTCTACAAAATTTATTTACAGGTACATATCACTCATTGGGGAAAGGAGGTCACTATGCACACGCACACCGTTATCACATTATTCCATCTTTCCATTTCTTCCTTAGAGAGAGCAGCTCAATTGAGGTCACAGCTTCAGTCACAGAACTTGCTTGCTCTTCCAGATCCCCTCTTGCACTGCCTGCCAGTTAGTCACCCCCTTCGGGAACCAAACACGGCACCTTATTCTCGTTCCACCTTGTGGCCAGCCAATCACGCCACAGTGTTTTGGCTGGCTTTTCAGCGCCACAAGCACACACACTCACATTGTTAGAAATATGCTTTTGTAGTAGTATAAATCAAAAGAATACAATATTCTTTATTTCTGACTTATTATTGCTTAAAGTGACTTCATTTATCACTTGCTGGACTTACATTTACAGGTGGTGGTGGTGGGGGGGGGGGTGTCAGAGGGATGTGTCTAATAGCTTTATTTTTGTGAATTTTTATCTGAAACTCCATAGAAAGACTGTTGTGGAGTTGCCACTCTAACATAATCTTATCAAATTTAATTTGATTTTTATTTATTTATTTATTTATTTTTTTCTCTCGGCTGTTTTTTTATTATGTTTATTCTACTTAATATTTCTATGTTTAAGTTTTCTATGATTTTTCCATTTTAGTCTAGGGCATCTAATGTTAAGCCTAAGATTTTATGACTCAGTATATTTAATTTCTGTTTAATCTGTTGTTATTCTTGGCAATTGATTGGCCTTTTTATTTGGAAAACACATTTAATTGCTTTTTAGAAAATTTATTTTCAAATACCAATTATTAGCCCATTCTCTTAGTTTTTCTATTTTATTGGAGGCCTCTAAAAAGTTTTTATTACTTGTTACTAAGGTTATGTTATCTGCGTATATTATTTTATCATCGCCACCAGAAAATTATAGATCCTTTAAAAATATGTTGAATAGTATTGGATTTATAGATGAACCTAGAGATATACCACTATATTTTATCTTTTCCTGTTCTTTGGTTTCCAATTTTCATTTGGAATGATCTTTAACCAATTTAGAGGTTTTCCTGCAATACCCAATTTTGAATTTTTATTAGTAATGTGTCGTGATTTACTGTCTCATAAGCTATTTCTAAATCAATACATGCTTTCATTAAAAAAAAAAATCTTTGGCTGCTTTATTTGTATAGTTATTTAATGTGTGTAGTGCATTGTTGATGTTTCTCTTCAGTCTAAATCCTATTAAATCTTTATCTAACTTGTTATATTTTAACCATCATGTTAATCTCTTTCCAATTGTGTTTTTGAATATCTTGTTAATAGATCTGTATGAGTTTGCTTCCGAAGGATTATTAATGTTATTTTTATTAGTATTATTTTTATGATGATTATTAATTATTTATTATTATTATTATTATTATTATTATTATTATTATTATATTTATTAGTATTATTTATCCCTTCTCATAATTATCATAGTCTTTTCTATATCAGGAGGAATGGAAAAAATGTTGATTACCTTCCACATAGTGATTGCAATATGTTTCTTTACAGAATTACTGCTTGGAGAAAGATGGTTGTTCGACAATACAATGATGAGCTCAAGTTCCTTGAGCGCATCATGCCAAACTGCTGGCGAATCAAGAAGGGGTTCCAGCCCAACATGAATGTGAGTTTTGATCATTGTCATTGTTGTTGATTGTTGATGATAATGCACTTTGTTCAACCAGTATGTTATTATTATTACATTTTTTGTTATTTATGCTTTTTTATGTTGTTATAAATATAGCTGATAATGATTTTATTATCATATTTTGAAATAATTTCCAACTTTATTATTAATGTTATTACATTCACTTACCCATTGCCCATCCACCTACCCATCCACCTAAGAGAAAAAAGAAATCCCAACCATGAACAGTATTGTTATTATTATTTTATTTTCTGCTCTATCTAGTATTGATGGTTTATTTATTGTTTTGTATTATATATTTGCCTGAATTCAGCATCATTACTACTATAATCTCTTTGATTTCTTCTAAGGTGGATGGAATCTTTTATGTGAACGATCACCTAGAGAAACTCATGTTTGATGAGCTACGAAATGCTTGTCGTCCTGGCATGGTGGGAGGCTTTTTGCCAGCTATGAAGCAAATTGCAAATGTTGCAGCTTTACCTGGTATTGTCGGGAGGTCGGTTGGCCTACCTGATGTCCACTCTGGCTATGGATTTGCAATTGGTAAGTCTGATAGAATTATTATAGCCAAGTTAGAGGAAGAGTAAAGTATCAACATAAAAAGTATATACTTTCTTCTTCTTCTTCTTTCTTCTTCTCTTCTTCTTCTTTTTCTTCTTCCAAATTTGGCTAATATTGGTAATATTAAATGCCTGAAGCTGTGAGGTAAACATCCTTATTATTTATACTTGAGTATCATGTACAGAAATACAATGTAGAGATGAGTACTGTGACTTGTAATAAGTATGTAATAAATTAAGCTTTTTTTTAGGAGGATGTTCCTAGATTTTTCCAATAGAACTGGATCTTAAAGAGGATATAATTACCAAAGTTAAACAATGCAATGAATACTTATTTTCAGTCTTAAAAAGATTAACTTTTGGAAAGGTACAGTAGATTATTCCTTGAAATAAGTGTATGTGTATATTGTGTTGGCATATCTTTCACAGGTAATATGGCAGCTTTTGATATGGATAACCCGAAAGCTGTAGTGTCTCCTGGAGGAGTAGGATTTGACATAAACTGTGGAGTTCGTCTTCTTCGTACCAACTTGATGGAAAATGATGTTAAGCCTATCAAGGTATGTGATTAAATAGAAAGTTGTATGATTTTTTTGTTATATAACAGAAAGGTAACGTCAGAAGGCTCAGAGGCCTGATAAACCTTTATGTACTTTAGATATTGAATTTTCATCAGCTGGATAATTTGACAGTAAATTTTCAGTCTCAGACATGGACTTGCATATATTGCAAGGTAATTAGTGCATGATATTGGTAGATTCATGTATTCTATAAAGAAACATTTTTCTTACATTGTTTTTTAAAGATTACAAAGAGAAAAGTTTAAAAATTAACTATGAATGGTAAAACACTCCCAACAATGCACAAACTAGAATGTGCAGTGTGTGTGTGTGTGTGTGTGTGTGTTTTTTAATCAAAATAGACTTTAAATCACCAGGAGAGGCTAGAAATATTTCACATGGTGGGCATGATCATTAGAAGGAATAGGTCCAGTTTAATTTGTGTGTGTATATATATATATATATATATATATATATATATATATATATATATATATATATATATATATATATATATACATATATATATATATATATATATATATATATATATATATATATATATATATATATATATATATATATATATATATATATACACACACACACACACATATATATATATTATATATATATATATATATATGCATATATATATGCAGATGATGTGAGCATGCTTGTCTTGGGAAAATTTGGCTGTGAGCTAGGGTGATGTGAACTTGCCATCATGAGTGTTTTGGCTGAGGGATAGGGTGATAGGAAAAACAACACGAATGCACAAAACTCTCGGAGGGTGATTAGACTCATTTAAGATTTAGAAAGGGGCTCTTGCATTATTCCCAATGATAAATGAATGTGGAATGTAGTGTCTGTGAGGCCATTACTGGAAGAGCACTAGCTCCAGAAAGGATGCCATTTCCATGCTCAGCACCCTATTCCTGGCTGTCTTACCAGCGACCTTTGCTGTAGTACAGACAATTTAATGTTACAAAAAAATAGAAAATGGAGTTATGGACTACCTAAAAAGATGATATAGAGTCTGTGCAAGGAAAATAGTCTTATTACCATCTGGATGAAGCAAATCATATGACAAATATGGATATAGGAAAATGGCAAAAAGTTAAAAACGCTTATGAATGAAAAGAGAAAATAATGTTGGAAAGGAGAGCCATAGAGTCTTGTCACCACATATGAGTGTTCATTTGTGCTCAGCCTATAAGCCACACATCTGTCAGAGCAGCCGCTCACAGAAGCCTAATGACCGTATTCTAGGCCATGTGATTGCCATGAAACATATGGATCTAAAGAGTTGATAATAAAGAGTAACTGGTAACTCATCCAGGGTTTTTTGTTTTTTTTCTCGTATTTCCTTCAGAACACATGTGTTTTATGATTTTCTTAGAAAACACTGTCAATTATAATGAAGCTATATGTTTTTTTTTTATCAGAAATTATGTCAGCAGTATCATTATTTTGAATTGATTAGATGAAACCACATAGTTTTGCTCACTCTAGGGATAACATTTGGATTAGAAACGGTAATAGAAAACCTTGGATCCAGTTCAGAATATGAAATGAATGTGTTATAATAAACAAGTATACCTGTGCATTTCATCTGTTAGAAAAGTCTATCAGATGTTTAGGTGAAAATTACATGTTTGAATAGCAAATTCCTTTGTATGCCCATAGTTAATTATCACTTCCCTATACTTTTGACAAAAGACTTGGTTGAGCAAGCCATCTTCACTTTGCCTGATTGTACTATTACCTTTGCTATATGTATGTCTGAAACCAGAATGATACCAATCTTGGTAAAATTCTGATATCTGATGTTTGAGAAAAAATTGTATCAGTATATTGCTGTAGTAAATTTTTGTTTTTAGCTTAGTTCATTCAACATAGAATAATATAATTCTATGCATTCTTTATTTTTAAACGTTAAAGGTAGTCGCCCAAAAAGTAAAAATGTACTGTTGGTGACTAAACTACTTTCATTACACAAGTTTATAATCTTGTTTTGCTTCTAGAAGTTTGATGCACAGGGAACTCTTTAAATTGGTTATAGAATACTTAAAAAAAAATTTTAATAAGATACATAAAATCATTGTTTCTAAGAGAAAAATGGAATATCTAAAAAAAAAAAAAAAAAACAGATTTCTCTTTCACTTATAAAAAAGTACTTTAGTCATTAGAATGACCCACACTTTCTCCATTATGGTATTGAATGTAACTTTTTGTATGACAACAGGAACAGCTGGCCCAATCAATGTTTGATCACATTCCTGTGGGTGTTGGTTCAAAGGGTATCATCCCCATGACGGCACGAGACTTGGAGGAAGCCCTAGAGATGGGCATGGACTGGTCACTAAGAGAAGGTATGAATAGATTGTGTGGACTCTTCGTTTTTGTAGAGTTGATTGTTTTCTTATAATTATTATTTTTATTGTTATTAATGCATTTTATCTGAATGACATGGATGTTACTTCATAAAAAAAAATTGGCTAAGTGGTAGGTGACAGGATTGTGTTCCTATGGAAAAATTTGGCTGAGGGCCAGGCTTATAGAAAGGATATCCTGTGATATTGTTGCCAAGTTATGGGTGACAGAGATGTCTCACCATGGCTGAATAAAAGTCTTAGAGCAGGGGTGGGCAATTAATGTTTACAAGGGGCTACATGAGAAACCTGAATTGTGTCAGAGGGCCACACCAACAATAACTTGAACTTAATTCTGCTCAACTTTCTTCCATTGTAAAATGCACTAAATTATATATTTAGTAAATTATATATTTAATAGGTATAAACATTTAATAAATTTTATATTTAATAAATTATATATTTGATAAATTATATATTTAGGCCCGCGAGAGGCCGGACAGGGACACACAAAGGGCCGGATGTGGCCCGCGGGCCGTAGTTTGCCCAGGTCTGTCTTAGAGGGAGATTAGACTCTATAACCCCATAGGATTAGACTCATTATTTCTCTTATTTCTACTGATAAACAAAGGTGGAATGTACCATATGTGAGCCATGCCTAGAAGAGCACTGACTTCATTGATGACATATTTCCATGCACAGGAAGCTATTCCTTGTTTTATGGTGCTGGATATGTTACACATAATGGAATATTACAAACATATGAAAAAATAACACAAGTATCACATTATTTACATATTATTATTGTAATTGCACAGAAGAGATGATATGGAGTCTGCTCAACAAAAACAGTCTATTACCCTTTTTATAGAGCTTAACAAATGAGAAATATTGGTAGTTCCATTCCTGGATCCATACCATAACATAAAATTACAGAAAAGACAGTTACTACCAAGAAAATTATTTTATAAGTTATTATTTATCAAATTATGATATACAATAATACAAGACAGATACACCAAGGAGGAAGAGCACAGATGGCTGTTTGTGGAGATAGCAAACTGGAGGAGTAGGAAGTATCCCATGTCCCGGTTCCAATGCCGCTTTGCAAAGATAAATCTATCCAGGGTGGTTTGTTTGCTTTATCTCCTTGTGTAGTTCTTCATAACAGAGAAAACATTCCTTGACAATTCATGCAACTTTCAAACTTCTTTGGTTTTGTCTGTATGATCAGTGATGTCAGGTATAGTGGAAAAGCTTAACAGGATTCTTTACAGTCAGTTCTCTATATTTTTTTTCTTCTCTTCCTTCTTCTTCCTTCTGATATTGTACTGTATTGTCAGAAGTCTCCTTTTCTATATTATTATTATGATTACTATTGTTAATTTTTTTTTCTTCTTTTCTTTTCCTTTTAGATTGAGGAATCAGGCCAATTTTCAGGTATCGATCAATTTTTAGGCCCAACATTTCCCATTTTATTTATTATTATTATTATCCCCCCCCCCATAAGACATAAAAAAATATTTTCAGTAACTAAAAAGGCAGCAGTACAGAGACCTTTTTTTGACAAAATATTATGGACTACCTAGGGAGATGAGATTGGAACTGTGCAAGTCTGTTACCATCTAGATGAAGCAAACCAAATGATAAAAATCAACATTGAAAAGAAAAAAAAAAAAAAAATGTATAGGCATTAAAAGAGAAAATAACATTGCAGAGGGGAGGCATAGTCTCCTGTCACCCCACATGAGTATTCATTTGTGCCTGGCCTACAAGCCACGCACCTGTCAAAACAACCGCTCACATAAGCCTGATGCCAGTATTTTGGGCCACATGATAGCTGTGAGACACCCAGATCCAATTGGGTAATAACTTTATAATGTTGATGTCATTAATGACATTAGTAGTTATGATATTTGTAAGTAATTTTTCCTCAAAAGGGGAAATTCAGTGATGTCAGGTAGACTTACTAATTGACTCTTTGCCATAAATTTGTTCCAGGCTATATATGGGCTGAAGATAAGGAACACTGTGAAGAGTATGGGCGAATGGCACAGGCTGATCCTGCCAAAGTTTCAATGCGAGCTAAGAAAAGGGGGCTGCCACAGGTACAGAGAAGGCATGAGATTTCCTTCTCCATTTTGGAATCAAAGGATTGTAGTCAATTTGATAAATGTGATTACCTCATAATGATAGGAACAATTTATGTGATTTTAATGGAAATAAAATTATTAGGTACAATGATAAATAATGATAATTATCTGATATTGGTTTCTGTACACACAACAGCTAGGTACTCTGGGTGCTGGCAACCATTATGCAGAGATCCAGGTTGTGGATGAAATATACGACAAGTGGGCGGCCAGCAAGATGGGAATCGAGGAGAAAGGCCAAGTTTGTGTCATGATTCACTCGGGCTCCAGGGGATTTGGCCATCAAGTAGCTACAGGTTGCTTTATATACTATTTGAAGACTTTGGTATTTTTATGAGCATAGTTCTAAGAAAAGGAGTATTATTACTTTGTGATTTCGAATTGTTCAGTAACATACTGTATATTTGTGTTGTATTAACTGTATGACTTGTATAATCTAAAGTAGCTGTATAAATCTGTTTGCATCAGTTCTTTAGTGATTGTAGGTGTATTTTGTTTACATACCAACATTTATGTATATAATGCATCTGCATTATTTGTGGTGTATCTCTAAATGTAATTTCATATTTACAGATGCCCTTGTTGCCATGGAAAAGGCCATGAAGAGAGATGGCATTGACACAAATGATCGACAGTTAGCATGTGCCAGGATCAATTCCCCTGAAGGCCAGGACTACCTCAAGTCAATGGCAGCAGCAGCTAATTTTGCCTGGGTTAATCGTTCATCCATGACGTTCCTCAGCCGACAGGTAATTGTTTAATTGCTTTTGTGAAATTACCTGCATTTGTGATTGAGTATTTGTAAGGAATAGTGAAAATACTGGCTAGTGACAGAAAAGGATGGTTGTGTATGTATCCCATTCATCATTCTTTTTATGTGCTGTTGGATATATTATATATTTTCTCTTTTTGGAGAAGAAAGGAAGCATAGCAAGAATCTTGTATGATTCTTTTTCTATATATTGGAGTAACTGAAGAGGGAGTTATAGAGAAATTTATGTTAATTTTTATGTGCATCATAAAAGAAAATAAACATTTCAGAAATTTTAATTTTGGGACTGTCCCAAAGTTTGGTGGGGGTAGTTGGTTCTTGGAGTTTGGGTTAGTCGAAAGTGAGTTATACCTGTTTTCAAACTTGTATAGGAATGTAGAATTACCCTTGTGAATATAAATCCCCGCAAAGAAAAACTTGGCTCTGACTGGGTCCATGAATCCCATGCAGTCACTCGCAGCTTCAGCAATTTTCACATGTATGTATTTATCCCGTGCTAGAACAAAAATGAAGCATTGTATTTTGACATTACCTACTGAAATAAGTCACTGGAGGATGAAAGTGATGCGTTATAAATTCCTACCAATTTGAGGGATGTATGATGAAAAAAATAAAGAAAATCTAAAAATCATCGAACAGTTTTTCATGTTTTTTCATTATAAATGTGGTAGATATTCGAATTTTGATGTAAACATCATATATATAACTTTAGGTTTGACAATAATGCATGTGCATTGGTGAGTTTAGGATACTTCATTCGATCACATGGTCCCATGGCCACATGGCAAGATTTTTCATGCTTTCACCACCCAGTTGCATTTTAAAGATTTTATATTGTTTGTATTAATTAGAGCTGAAGCAATTAAGAAAACACATAATAGTAATAATGTAGTTACTTTATACTAAATATAAATAACCGAAGTATATAAAGGCTAAAAATCCCGCATGAAATATCAAATACCTCTATAAACTCTTATGATATAGGGCTGTAATTAACCAGTTTATCGTATTACATAAAAAAAAAAATTGTCGATGGGAAACAGACAGTGGTGTTTATATTTCAAAATATCAATGTTTTCTAAGTGGTTATTTCTAACAAATAAAAAAATGATTCAAGGTTATCGGTAACTATGAACCACTTGTTACCGCTTCTTGTTATCCCTGCACGCATATACACATGTGCATGCTTCTACATACATTTGTACATGTACACATATAGACACATACATGTACACATTTACATATATACATGTACATATTTACATATATACATGTACATATTTACACATACATGTACACATATTTACATACACAAGTATATGTATGCACATGTTTTTATATAAATGCACATATGTATACACAGATGTACGCAATTTTACATGTACACCTACATGGACATCTTTGCACTTGTAGATGCTAGAAAACATTAAGATCCTGAGAAAAACCTTAGTGACCCTCATTTGGGTCGTGACCATGGGGTTAGGAACCACTGGTATACGCTAATCTCGGTAACACGACTTATGCATAAAAGCAGTTATTGCTTGTCTCAGGCCACTTGTATTAACCCGCTAGCGACAACACATTTTCAAGCCGAAAATAATATATTCCGGGCAGCTTCAAAATCGGCATGCAGGCGAGTTTGGGAAACTTCCCACATGCCGCCGCCACGGGCAACAAAATCAGAGCCAGAGCTCCAATCTAGGGTTGCACTGTCGGGACGCCCAGTTACGT